TCATCATTGACACTACAACACTGAAATCCCCTTGTTGCCACAGTTACATCCCATTGTTGCCACCAGTCATATCCCATTGTTGCCACCAGTCATATCCAATTGTTGCCACTGGCACATCTCATTGTTGCCACCAGTCATATCCCATTGTTGCCACCAGTCATATCCCATTGTTGCCACTGGCACATCCCATTGTTGCCACAGGCACATCCCATTGTTGCCACCAGTCATATCCCATTGTTGCCACTGGCACATCCCATTGTTGCCACCAGTCATATCCCATTGTTGCCACTGGCACATCCCATTGTTGCCACCAGTCATATCCCATTGTTGCCACTGGCACATCCCATTGTTGCCACCAGTCATATCCCATTGTTCCTACCAGTCATATTCCATTGTTGCCACTGGCACATCCCATTGTTGCCACAGGCACATCCCATTGTTGCCACCAGTCATATCCCAATGTTGCCTCCAGTCATATCCAACTGTTGCCTCCAGTCATATCCCATGGTTGCCACAGTTACATCCAGTTGTTGCCACCACCAGTAATATACCATTATTAGCACAGTCATATCCCATTAATACAATCATCAGTAATATACCATTAGTACCACATTCATATCCCATTAATAACACCACCAGTAATATACCATTATTACCACAGTCATATCCCACTGATAGCAACACCAGTAATATACCATTATTACCACAGTCATATCCCATTAATACCACCACCAGTAATATACCATTATTACCACAGTCATATCCCATTAATAACACCACCAGTAATATACCATTATTACCACAGTCATATCCCATTGATAGCAACACCAGTAATATACCATTTATTATCATATAATGGGTAGGTTTCTCGGCAGGATAAAGCCAACGGATAAAAACGATATCTGTTGGTGTCATATGCGGAAAGAGATGCAAATATCAAAGGTCAAGTAGGAACTACTTTCACTGTTTATAAACAAACATGGCGTCGCCCTCGTCATTCGGCGATCGAGGCAGAATTAACCATGGAGAATCTGGATAAACTACAGGGATAATTGCCATCATTATCAAAAGAACAGTCTAATATACTGAAAATCAGTGTCTAACTGTGATGTAGCTAAGGCATTTTATAAGTTTGGGCAACTTTGGAGATATAAATTTCGAAACAATTTTGCGAGGGCACGAGCCCTAGCCAACCGGGATCAGTAGCCATATCTGTGCTTGTAGACCTCTGCGGCTTGAAACCTACTCCACAAATTAAAATAGTTGGATTTGGCTGGAATATGTTTGAATTGTTACCTTGTTTCGTTTTGTTGCTGCGTGTACATATGACTACACTTCTTAACGTTATGACAGGACAGACTGACTGTCAACAACGTCTGACCGTGGCCATGACGTCTCATAGACTAGGGTTAGAGTAGCTTCCCTTTGACAAAGGGCAGCACTCTAGCGGACAGACCGATGGATTGGTCATATCCCATTAATAACACCACCAGTAATATACCATTTTTAGCAGTCATATCCCATTAATAACACCACCAGTAATATCCCATTATTAGCAAAGTCATATCCCACTAATAACACCACCAGTAATATCCAATTATTAGCAAAGTCATATCCCACTAATAACACCACCAGTAATATCCCATTATTAGCAAAGTCATATCCCATTAATAACACCACCAGTAATATACCATTTTTAGCAGTCATATCCCATTAATAACACCACCAGTAATATCCCATTATTAGCAAAGTCATATCCCACTAATAACACCACCAGTAATATCCCATTATTAGCAAAGTCATATCCCATTAATAACACCACCAGTAATATCCCTTTTTAGCAGTCATATCCCATTAATAACACCACCAGTAATATCCCATTATTAGCAAAGTCATATCCCACTAATAACACCACCAGTAATATCCCATTATTACCACAGTCATATCCGATTAATAACACCACCAGTAATATCCCATTATTAGCAAAGTCATATCCCATTAATAACACCACCAGTAATATACCATTATTACAACAGTCATATCCCATTAATAGCAACACCAGTAATATACCATTATTACCATAGTCATATCCCATTAATACCACTACCAGTAATATACCATTATTACCACAGTCATATCCCATTAATACCACCACCAGTAATATACCAGTATTACCACAGTCATATCCCATTAATAACAGCACCAGTAATATACCATTATTACCACAGTCATATCCCATTGATAGCAACACCAGTAATATACCATTATTACCAGTCATATCCCATTAATAACACCACCAGTAATATACCATTATTACCACAGTCATATCCCATTAATACCACCACTAGTAAAATCCCATTATTCCCACCAGCAACAGATTTTTCACATTAATAAAAATACCAATCTTGTCTACGGCACCATCAACTCTGCACCACTGTAATCCAAAACCATAGCCATCTCATATTGTAAAGTTAAATGAAGCTTGGTCAAGCCTTGTCCACTAAGTGACCGCTGCCATCTGCACAACCTCCAAGCAGTCATCAGTTATAGCGTTAATCTGTATCTGAAGCTTGTCATCCTCTGACACCAGTTCTGCAGAGAATCACCAAGGATCTCTGGCACACTTCCCAGCACAGATGGTCACAGGTCTACATGGGTTTATTTTCATCCCGGATCCATTAAAAGGGGTCAGACGGTAGGATGCCAATCCATTCATTTCTTGTGAAAACGTTTTGATCATGCTCCCAAGACCAGCAGAGCACTCTAAGGTAACACCCACGATTAGCTCAAGTGATGAAGGGGTTACTTCATAATCTCAAAATGAAGTGACATTGTTTGTCAAACCCTAAGCTTCCTAAAGTTAATAATCTGAATCATTCAAACATTTTCTCCCAAACCCTAAGCTTCCTAAAGCAATAAATCTGCAGCATTCTGAAATCTTCCCATTTGACACGAAGTGATTACATTCATGCATTATCTAATATTCAAGAATTATTTCTTTCATGGTATGTTTTGTTTGGTTGTTTGTTGTTTAACGCTGCACTCAGCAATATTTCAGCTATATGACGGTGGTCTGTTAATAATCGAGCTGGACGAGACAATCCAGTGATTGACATCATGAGCATCGATCCACGCAATTGGGATACGATGACACGCATCAACCAAGTCAGCAAGACTGCCCACCCGATCCCATTAGTCGCCTCTTATAACTCTTATAACAAGCACAGCTGCTTTTTACGGCAAGCATAGGTTGCTGAAGAACTATTCTACCCGGATCTTCATGGTACTTTCTTGGAAAGTGAATTGGCTTCTACTTAGTACCAATTACCACCAAACCTGCACGTCCGCAGCATGTAATGTAACCTGGACCAGAAAAAAACAGTGGTAAAAATGTGTGAACACAAGCCATGCAATGGTGATGGAGTATCATTTTACACTACTTTTAGCAATACCCGTGGCAAGGGACACACAAGGGGCTTCAAACATTGTATCCATGTGGGGAATCAACCCACAAGAGAACGCTTTAACCACTAGGCTACCCCACGCCCTTCCAATAAGGGTACGATGACAAAAACATACTAATCAACCCATTCAAGTCCCCTTTAATCGGCGTGAAAACCTCCTCTGCCTGAGATCCTACAGCCATCAAACACATCTTCAGAATTAATCTCTGTCAATTGATTAGTCTGACCCTTCTAGATGGCTTATTTTCCATGTTTAGCAAGACTTCTTCGTTTTTCTTTATCCACGTTAACGGATAACCTGTCAACATGAGCACAAGCTAATTGTCCAGCAAGCCGACAGACTATTTTTGACCCTCAAGCAGACCTCAGACCAAAAGTCAACAGCCTTGAGCATCCTTCTATTCCCCATTGCAGTTACAGAATCATGGCCACCTGAAACTTCCATTTGCGAGCCTCAATGACCTTCAATGCCATCCTCCAGCTTAGTGTCCTCTCAGTATCCAGCAATTGTCACTTGAATGTGTTGCATACACAGACTAATGAATACGCCCCTCTGAACCAATGATGGATGAAATTAATTATTGGATTTCACATCATGCTGGACAGTAGAAGTAGCCTACGCTTAAAAAGATTTGGTATGCTACTGTAACATTAGGCTGACCAATAAACAACATTGTCAAGTCTTATTTTCATTCTTATTGTCATTTGAGACAACCTAGAGCCCTTTTAACCAATTGTCAAACCAATTGACATCACTGCTCACTCCCACAATTTGATCTCAGCTCGGAACCAGCAGAGCAGGTATAATTTTATTGTATTACTGCTCACAGAAGGAAGCAACAATGAACACAAATGTCACTTACAAACTGTCAATAAGTGCTGCCATTAATGGAGACTTCAGCAACAATGAAAACTGTTCTTGTAGACATGTGTCTATTGACAATCATGTGATCAACACGGGCCAAAGAAGTATGAGCAATTTAACATGCTGTAAGATACACACAATCTGGAGGAACTGCCACGTGTTGTTCAAGGTCAGTGCAAATTTGATGAAAATTGAAATGAAAACTATCATAAAATTTGCATCAGCTGAAATAACAATATTACTACTGTTCTTAAGAGCAGATAATATTGGACATATATCTCCAAACACAACAGACCACATTCAATTTCTTTTTAAATTAGAAAAAGGATTTCTTGAAGGGAATGTATTGGTAGACAGGATCAAATTACATAGAATCAAAGAAAATCAATTTTGTAGTGATAATATTTGTAGGGACATAATTGCTGAAGTCACACACTGGTATTAACACTTCATCCAGCCGTTTAATGGTCATCTGATTGACTTTAAATCTAATGCTCATTGATTCCAGTGTCTAGGTCAAACCCACCTGTCCAGACCAATCTATATTTGCCAAAGTTATTTCATTATATAAACCTTGTCTCATTTCTGATGCAGTAGCTCCAACTTACCAATCCCTGTACAACCGACTGAAGAAAAAGGAATGAGGCAAATTCATTCTTGTTCGTTTCATGTTATTTCATGTCAGGAATAATCTTGAGGAAGGCAAAGTTACATTGATATACAAAATTGTTTGAATTGAGATGTGATTTGAACCATGGACTTTCTGATGCAATGCCTGGTGGTGTCTGGTGGTGCCTGGGGGTGCCTGGGAATGCCTGGGAATGCCTGGGGGTGCCTAGGGGTGCCTGGAAATGCCTGGGAATGCCTGGGGGTGCCTGGGGATGCCTGGGGATGCCTGGGGGTGTCTGGGGGTGCCTGGGGGTGCCTGGGGATGCCTGGGGATGCCTGGGGATGCCTGGGAATGCCTGGGGGTGCCTGGGGATGCCTAGGGATGACTGGGGGTGCATGGGGGTGCATGGGGATGTCTGGTGGTGCCTGGGGATGTCTGGTGGTGCCTGGTGGTGCCTGGGGATGTCTGGTGGTGTCTGGTGGTGCATGGTGGTGCCTGGTGGTGCCTGGGGATGTCTGGTGGTGCCTGGTGGTGCCTGGGGATGTCTGGTGGTGCCTGGTGGTGCCTGGTGGTGCCTGGGGATGTCTGGTGGTGCCTGGGGATGTCTGGTGGTGTCTGGTGGTGCCTGGGGGTGCCTGGTGATGTCTGGTGATGTCTGGTGGTGCCTGGGGGTGCCTGGGGATGTCTGGTGGTGTCTGGTGGTGCCTGGGGGTGCCTGGGGATGCCTGGGGGTGCCTGGTGATGTCTGGTGGTGCCTGGGGATGCCTGGGGATGTCTGGTGGTGCCTGGGGGTGCCTGGTGATGTCTGGTGGTGCCTGGGGGTGCCTGGGGATGCCTGGGGGTGCCTGGTGATGTCTGGTGGTGCCTGGTGGTGCCTGGGGATGTCTGGTGGTGTCTGGTGATGTCTGGTGGTGCCTGGGGGTGCCTGGTGATGTCTGGTGATGTCTGGTGGTGCCTGGGGGTGCCTGGGGATGCCTGGTGGTGTCTGGTGGTGCCTGGGGGTGCCTGGGGATGTCTGGTGGTGTCTGGTGGTGCCTGGGGGTGCCTGGGGATGTCTGGTGGTGTCTGGTGGTGCCTGGGGGTGCCTGGGGATGCCTGGGGGTGCCTGGTGATGTCTGGTGGTGCCTGGGGATGCCTGGGGATGTCTGGTGGTGCCTGGGGGTGCCTGGTGATGTCTGGTGGTGCCTGGGGGTGCCTGGGGATGCCTGGGGGTGCCTGGTGATGTCTGGTGGTGCCTGGGGGTGCCTGGTGGTGCCTTGGGTGCCTGGTGGTGCCTGGGGATGCCTTGGGATGCCTGGGGGTGCCTGGGGGTGCCTGGGGGTGCCTGGGGTGCCTTGGGATGCCTGGGGGTGCCTGGGGTGCCTGGGGGTGCCTGGGGATGCCTGGTGGTGCCTGGTGGTGCCTTGGGTGCCTGGTGGTGCCTGGGGGTGCCTGGTGGTGCCTGGGGATGCCTTGGGATGCCTGGGGGTGCCTGGGGGTGCCTGGGGTGCCTTGGGATGCCTTGGGGTGCCTGGGGATGCCTGGGGATGCCTGGGGGTGCCTGGGAATGCCTGGGGGTGCCTGGATCCATTCTCTGCTCCCAATACCCCACCATATAAAGAAGACAGGTGTACAATGGGTCTACATAGCAGGGCTCTGTTTATTTTTCTGATATTTATATTTTTCTAAAAGATTTATTTCACGAAAATATATAAAACATATAGTCATATTATAAAGTACATATACATGTAGAGTGTTATTTCTATTATTGCTCCTGCAATGTGACATCTCCCCAATCCAGCAGCAGCAGACATGACAGATCCTGTTTCGTAATTACAACTGTTCCACACTCAGTTGGGTCCAAATTTTATCAACTGAGTTAACATGCTATTCAGAAGTTATTTCAAATCTAAGACTTCCAGTTTAGGACCATGAACATGTTACTGACTCAAATGACAAATGAAATGCTTTATGTGCTTGAAGTGTGCGTGGTGTCACACTGAAAATAGTCAACATCGATCCACATGTAAATTTGTTAAATCTCTGATAAAAAAAATAAGCTCCAATCCAGTGACCCCTACACATTATCGACCAATTCAGTGGAGAGAGTGCAAGTGAAATAGAATGCATTTGATACCTGTTTATTCAATTTCAAACCTAACGTGTTAGCTTTGTGCCAGGAAATGTGTCAAGAACCAGAACATGCTGCGTACTATGCATTTATAGGAGGACAGACCACAGTGGCATTTTTGCAGAACTAATGCAGCAAAAGGATTTCATTTCTGTCAACTTAAAAAATAATAATAATAATGATAATGATAATAATAATAATAATAATAATAGTGATAGGCTCTTTATATTGCACATATTTCTACAACCCACAGGGGCATGCTCAAAGCGCTATTATTAGCCCGGTCACTGGATCAATAATAATAATAATAATTATAATAGTGATAGGCTCTTTATATTGCGCATGTTTCTACAACCCACAGGGGCATGCTGAAAGCGCTATTATTACCCCGGTCACTGGATCAATAATAATAATAATAATAATAGACTACTGTGTCCACCTGTCCAAGAACCACATGAACACCTAGAAAACTACTGTGTCCACCTTTCCAAGAACCACATGAACACCTAGACAACTACTGTGTCCACCTATCCAAGAACCACATGAACACCTAGACAACTACTGTGTCCACCTATCCAAGAACCACATGAACACCTAGACAACTACTGTGTCCACCTATCCAAGAACCACAAGAACACCTAGACAACTACTGTGTCCACCTATCCAAGAACCACATGAACACCAATAGACAACTACTGTGTCCACCTACCCAAGAACCACATGAACACCTAGACAACTACTGTGTCCACCTATCCAAGAACCACATGAACACCAATAGACAACTACTGTGTCCACCTACCCAAGAACCACATGAACACCTAGACAACTACTGTGTCCACCTATCCAAGAACCACATGAACACCTAGACAACTACTGTGTCCACCTATCCAAGAACCACAAGAACACCTAGACAACTACTGTGTCCACCTATCCAAGAACAGCAAGAACACCTAGACAACTACTGTGTCCACCTATCCAAGAACAGCAAGAACACCTAGACAACTACTGTGTCCACCTATCCAAGAACAGCAAGAACACCTAGACAACTACTGTGTCCACCTATCCAAGAACCACATGAACACCTAGAAAACTACTGTGTCCACTTATCCAAGAACCACATGAACACCTACAGACAACTACTGTGTCCATCTATCTAAGAACCAAAAGAACAACTAGAAAACTACTGTGTCCACTTATCCAAGAACCTCAAGAACACCTTGAAAAACTACTGTGTCCACTTATCCAAGAACCACTTGAACACCTACAGACAACTACTGTGTCCACCTATCCAAGAACCACAAGAACACCTTGAAAACTACCGTGTCCACCTATCCAAGAACCACAAGAACACAAATAGACAACTACTGTGTCCACTTATCCAAGAACCACATGAACACCTACAGACAACTACTGTGTCCATCTATCCAAGAACCACAAGAACAACTAGAAAACTACTGTGTCCACTTATCCAAGAACCACATGAACACCAATAGACAACTACTGTGTCCACCTATCCAAGAACCACAAGAACACCTATAGACAACTACTGTGTCCACCTATCCAAGAACTACATGAACACCTTGACAACTGCTGTGTCCACCTATCCAAGAACCACATGAACACCTTGACAACTATTGTGTCCACCTATCCAAGAACCACAAGAACACCTTGACAACTATCGTGTCCACCTATCCAAGAACCACAAGAACACCTAGACAACTACTGTGTCCACCTATCCAAGGACCACAAGAACACCTAGACAACTGTTGTGTCCACCTATCCAAGAAAAACAAACACCTTGACAACTACTGTGTCCACCTATCTAAGACCCACATGAACACCTTGACAACTACCGTGTTGACCTATCCAAGAAAAACAAACACCTTGACAACTACTGTGTCCACCTATCTAAGACCCACACAGAGCTCCAGATAAGCTTTTGGTGTTGTGTGTATTTTACCCATGTATTTTAAAATCATTGGGTATCAGTAATTCTATCTGCATATTCAAATTTCTGTTACCCACTAGTTTTTACACATGTGGGTATTTAAGTTAAATATTTAAAAACACTATTCATCTAGTCCCTGCAAACTGGTGTCGTGTGGGTTCGAGAGCTTTATAGGACTCAAAAATACCACGATACTTCCACAAGAAAGTGTGATGGCAAATGATCATGATGTAACTGTCATCGTGGAGTTTGGCAAGGTTGACGGAATGCCCGTTTATAATTTCAAAATAAGTTGCTGATTTGCTAATCGAATACGCAGGGTTACTTCACAATATTTTGATGATACGCACAAGTTTTATTTTTGTAGCGTATCTGTAATGTTCGTTGCGTATTTGATACGTTTGGATTATATTTTACTGTGTATTTCTGCATTTCTGACTGTGTTGACCTATCCAAGAAAAACAAACACCTAGACAACTACTGTGGTCATGATCACCTATCCAAGAACCATTCAGGTCCTCAAACTCTTCCTTGTGGGTTCCTGTACTGCCAGACAGTTCCCTCTGGCGTCATAAGGATGGTCAATAAACTATTATATCCACAATCCATCAATAAAAGTTATATTCATGTCAAGCTATCACTGGATGTCTAATTTGAGAAAAAGTGGAAAAACAATCCAATGAGCTAATATCATGTCAGTGTGGGTAAACACACATAAGTACATTCATTAAGACGACAGAAAATTATAACAAACTTGCTTCCATTTTCAAGAGAGCTATTTAAAAAAAAATGTTTTGATTTTTTTAACTTCACAGTTTTGAATTGAATGTTTAATTCAAACTTTATGGCAAATCCTCTATTTGTGTGTCATCTTACTGATGCATCAAACACACTGCATTTATATCTAAAATCATATTTGTGGAAAATCCAAAACAAGTAGTCAATCAAAAGTGCCACAAATCTTGGTTAAAAAATGTAGTATCTAATGAATATCTTAGATTCGCATAGAATGTAAATAAAAAGGTTATTTTCAGAGAATAAGAAAACAGAATAAGACTTTCGATGCATAAAAGCTCTGTAATACATACCAATACATTCACAATGGAGCAATCTGTATCAATTGTATTTCAAACAATTTTTTCATTGCTAATCTTTTACAGAGGACTATAGCATTACATTGTCTGGAATGGACAATATACTGAAAGGGTTAGATGTTTGATAGGACGTCTACATAATGCTGTGGGGCGGGGCGGGGCGGAGCGGGGCGAGGCGAGGCGAGGTTTAACATCGTGTTCAAGTTGTGACTGCACATACATAGCCACATGCATGTACATGGGTAGTGGTGGCTGCTTGTATTATTAAGGACTAATGCCAGTTTTATAGTGCTAGACCATTGAGATGCCATGCTGCAGTTTAACATGTATACCCCACTCACAGTATACGGACTCCAAGCCAACCAGTCCTTGTTTTAGTCCCTTAATGTCGAGTGCCAGGCAAAGAAACAACAAGTACCATAACTTACATCTTTTGGTACGATGCGGACAGGTATTCTTGGGCAGACACTCTAGTATCCACAATACCACAGAGGCCGTACCTATTGACACGTTATATCATAGGAGAGTGGGAGAAGGCAGGATATCATGGAAGGTTTTAGTGAATTAAAACATCTAATTTTCGTCATAAATATTGAACTAATTCATTTTACAGTATTCATGGTATTTGTGTGATTTTCATGACAAACTACTGTGAATATTGTGTGAGTGTCATATATTTTGAAAAGCTAAAGAAAGTCGCCATATGCAATGATTAGTAGAAACTTAATGATAAGGTCCAAAAGATATCTAATTTATAGAGAAGGTGGAAGTGTGTTTTGGCAACCTGTTCGGCAAAGGTTCCTGGCAGAATGACCTTTCACATCCATGCATTGTGATGTTGGAGCAAATCATAAAAATGCACATGTAAAATGTTCTTTGCTAATATGATTGGTCTCGCAATTACCACAACAAAATACTAGATGTGGATGGTAACAAATTACCACAACAAAATACACGATGTGGATGGTAACAAATTACCACAACAAAATACTTGATGTGGTTGGTAACAAATTACCACAACAAAATACACGATGTGGATGGCAACAGCTTATAGTCTCCTTCTCAGTGATATACACCACTTTATTGACATGGTTGATACACAGCTTATGGTCTCCTTCTCAGTGATATACACCACTGAATTGACATGGTTGATAAACAGCTTATAGTCTCCTTCTCAGTGATATACACCACTGTATTGACATGGTTGATACACAGCTTATAGTCTCCTTCTCAGTGATATACACCACTGTTTTGACATGATGGATACACAGCTTATAGTCTCCTTCTCAGTGATATACACCACTGAATTGACATGGTTGATACACAGCTTATAGTCTCCTTCTCAGTGATATACACCACTGTATTGACATGGTTGATACACAGCTTATAGTCTCCTTCTCAGTGATATACACCACTGT